TATATTTGTACAATGTCTATCACAATAAACACGGGCCAATATACTCCATAGCAATATAAATAACTAAAATGACAATGATAATGCTATCTAGTATGACAACTGCCTCTAACTTCAGGAGACAGTGAACCAAAACGACAACTTACCTTTTTGACTAGGTTCATTCCTTCTCCATCACAAGCCTGAAGTGGAAATGCAGCCTTATTATTAGGCATGGAAAGATGAGATTTTTATCAGTAAATATCAATTTCACCACCATGGACGGTGGCTGAAATTTCCCCTTGGGGAGACTTAACTCTCTGCCCTACCTCTTCCAGCCAAAGCTCTGCCCACACTTGCTCCTTTCCTCTTTCCTGCTCACTTTGGCCCCAAGAAAGGAAAAGTGCCCCCACCATGGCCCCAGATCTCTGGCAGAGAGCGACAGCTCCTTCAGTTCTGCACAGCGAGAGTGGGACTTTTTCATGGAGCCCCAGTTCCACCACTGCTCCTCCACCTCATTGGTGTAAATTTAGGACAGATCTAGCTTCTACTGCATGCTGTCCGTGTTCACTGTACAAACTGATGAAAAAAATATCCATTGTTAATAATAAACATTTACATACAGACCAAGAATGAAAAAGGTTGTTTGAGAGCTTAGAAGAGTTGATTGATGAATATTGACATGACATACTTCAACATGTAATGTTGACAATCTATGTTTTAATGGTTAAAAAGCATTAAATTATTTAATCCTTATGTCTAATATTATTAAGTAATTACTGTCTTAGCCTCCTATTGCATGGCCCCTACATGTTTGTGAAAATTTAATTTAATAAAAGTATAAAAATGCTTTAAAATACACTTTATTATCTGTCAAAATTGTTTAAAAAATAAATTCTTCATGCCTAATCTTTAGATTAAACCAGATCTATAAACTGTTTGCTCTATCGGCAAATATACAGGTATAAGACCTAGTTGAAAAAAATCAATGAACCTTTTTTTAAAAAAAATATTATTATGGATAATAACTTGGATTTCAAAAAAGTGGAATTTTTTCAGGAAAATATTTCCATTTTAATAGAACATTTTCAGATTTACCAAGAAAAAAAAAAGATCTGAGTGTATTTTTGGTTTTGCTTTTGTTTAATAAAACCTCATAATCTTTCAAAGAAAGATGGCGTTGATGAAAATGAAAATCTAGCAGGGATACATATCCTTTCAACGGTCTATCTAATCATATGAACAAAGTCTACAAAGAAGGGGCCAGGTTCCAATCAACTGAAGTTTTAATAGATCGAGAGATAACAGACACAACTCTCATTACTTTGTCTCATGGAAATCGTGATCTTTATTTTTAACAGAATGATCTGCATGCTTTCCCTGTAAAGTTTATAAAGAAAATCCATTTCAAAAAGAGGAAATTAAAAAAAAATCAAACAAGGCAATGAGACTGTTTTATTTCGTGGCTGCTGTATTAAAATATAAGAGCTGTCCAAACAATTGATAAAAGGACAGTCAAGGCTTGTGAACAAACAGTATCTGGTTGCATGTAGTTTGTAGAGGGCTGGATTATGCACTACATGTGCTACTCCATGTTAAGGCTCAAACAGAGCTGCACTGCTTCAGTGAGAGCTTTAGGCAGCTTTGGGTTTCCCTAGTTCCTTGCTGTGCAGGGGGATATGGCTGCTGCACTATCTCTTGATAGGGCGTGCAATGTACACTCTATTGGGACCAACCATCTCTGCGGGGTGGTGAGGAGAGGAGACAGGATGTTGGCCCCACCCTTTTGTGATGGCTTGCAGTGTCTGACTTGTGAAACCTTGCCCTGCCCTGCCCTTCCACCAACAGGAAGGACCACAGCTGTGCCAAGGCCGACCATCATGGTGCAAAGGAGGGAAGCCTTTTGTGTTCCCCCTGGTTTTGTTCCCATGTACACACACACAGATGCTGAGCACAGTCTAGCTTTTAACCTGCCAATGTATGAAAAGTTGAAGATCAAATCCTAAAGTCTTTAGCTACTTATCCTTACACAGGCAAAACTCCCATTGAAGCCAATGTCATCTTTTCATCCCCGTGCTGGTACAGAGCCCACATAAGGACACAGAGAGGGCAACATGTACCTCATTTTTATTGGAGCTGATGAGGATAGGTTAGGCATTGGGTGGTGATTCTTATCATCCCATTTGGAGACGAACCAGGACACAAAAATAATTTGGCCATCAAGGTAAGAGGCAGACAACACTGAGTTGGTCAACTAAGTGTACCTTCTCTACACACATAGATATCTTACATAATTTGAAAACATATTATGTCTACCTTAAGATGATGCATGATGTGGTGCTGTCAAATGGAGCTATTTACATAAAGACAGGGATATTATCAATACATTAAAATAACTACTTTGGAATATGTGTCTTTGTTTCTGTTCATTTACTGACATTATATCATTAAAAAAGATACTTTTTTATTTCTTTTTACCTGAAAGCATCATAACAATAATCTGCAGGGTAAAATAAAATGTAATAATAAATGTATACAGGTGTTATAGCAATGTAATGATGCTGATGACATTTCTAGTCAACAACATAGTCATCATCTTGTTCATCATTATCATCTTTGTCAAGAGCATGTCTCCATTATCATGGAATATACACAGTTCTGTGCAGGGAAGATTGTTCTGTCTACTGACAGTTGATTATGCAGCAACCCTTATTGATGCAGGCAGAAAATAAAGTCCAGTAAAGGCTCAGGTGACTCTGAGTCCTCGAAGAATACAGAAAGTAATTCATCATCCATATTTTTCCCTCTTTGTTGAAGTGATGATCAATACCCGGTATATGTGTTCATGAAAATATCTAAATCTTTGTTTGCCAAGATGCTCTTTTGAAAATTTCTTCAAAATGGTCCTCGCATGGAGGGAGTTTGGGTAGCAGTTTTGGGATCGGTTCTGTTCAATATCTTCACCAACAATTAGATATTGTCTTAGGCTATGTCTAGACCATGCTGAAGTTTTGAAAGAGGATATCCATGGAAATTTACATATCTTCTGATTTCACTTTCAAAAGCAGAGCTTTCGAAAGTGAAAGTAGTTGGGACACAGTTTTTTCGGCAACCCCCCCTTTTTTTTGAAAAGCCACTCTTCCTCAAAACATGAAAAACCCTTCGAAAAAACCGTGTCCCAACTACGTTCACTTTTGAAAACTCTGCTTTTGAAAGTGAGATCAGAAGAAGATATGCAAATTCCCACAGAATTTGCACATTCTCTTTTGAAACTTCAGAGTGGTATAGATGAGCCCTTAGAGAGTAACCTTTTAAAGTTTGATACCAAGCTGGGAGGGGTTGCAAGTGCTTTGGAGGGTATACGGTCATAATTCAAAATGATCTGAGCAAATTGGAGAAATGATCTGAGGTAAATAGGATGAAGTTCAATAAGGACAAATGCAAAGTTAGTCCACATAAGGAGGAACAATCAGTTCCATACATACAAAATGGGAAGTGATTGTTTAGGAATGAGTACTATAGAAAGGGATCTAGGGATCTGTAACATCCGTTTAATCCTTCCTTAGAGTTGAAGTAAGGACATTTTTGTGGCTTTTGTCTGAACTACATTTTGTTAGGCCACTTCTTACTCTCGTAGTTTTTGCATATTCACTAGGATATCTCTTGTGAGGGATGATCTGACAAGGACTGGCTTCATTATCATCAGTCCCATAATCCCACTTATGCCATCTGAATCTTTGATTATAGTTTTCTCTATTTCCATGTCACTCCAAATTCCATTGAAAGAAGAAGGACTCTGACACACATACATCTTTGTGGAGATTTATACCATCAAGAATGTATATTGGAAACCACCAAGAATAACTGGGCCTGTTTGCACTAAAGATTTATGGAAGTACTCCACACTATCTGAAGTAGATGATGTTTCCATTCACTTTCTTGCTTTGCATGGACATTTAGAAGAACAATCTTCATAACCTGGAGAAAATGAACATGGAACTTGAATGAATGCAGTAGACTGCACATGTATGAAGTGCCGTCATTAGTAGTGGCAAATTTTGAGTTTCAACATCATCAGGTTCTTTAATGGTGTGTTGTAAGGACTCAATGTCTTCTGACTCAAACACTTTTTAAGGCTGTCAACATTTGCCATACAATTGCTGGAACTATTTGAGTGCGTGCTCCCTTTAACCACCACTTAACAAATGAATAATATTTGTCTGGTACTCATGGCCTCAAGTTCTAGAGTCAAGACATGCAGAGCATGGCTAAACTGCTTACCAGCAAGCATTTCCTATGCAGTAGGAGCTGCATATATAAATCAGAATCAATAAGAAGGTTTTGCAAGTCTGTTTCACCCCAAAATTTCCCAATGAAAAAGGGTGTGAAAAGCACTCAGGCAAACCACATTGGTCCCAAGTTTTTCGGAGAGTCTTATTTCCATTTCTGAACAACATCATACAGCTGCTGATCCATGGTCTGAACAGCATGCTGCTATCCTGGAGTTCTCGATATTTCCTTATGTTTCAGCACTGTAGGATAGACTGGCCATATCAGCTGGTTTGGCATCCACAATAGGTTCACATGCAACTGCTGCGTATGTGTTCTATGAAACAAGATTGTGGTTGGAGCCAGTCCAAAATGGAATCACCCTGAACAATATCAGTGTTATTTCATATTTTCAGGATATCAGAAGCCAATCATTTTGAAAGACACCAGGGCTGTGTCCAGACTCAGGGGTTTTTTCGAAAAAAGTAGCCTTTTTTCGAAAAAACTTCACCTGCGTCTAGACTGCAGCCGCGTTCTTTCGAAATTAAATCGAAAGAATGCGGCTTTTCTTTCGACGGTGGTAAACCTAATTCCACGAGGAAGAACGCCTTCTTTCGAAAGTGCTCTTTCGAAAGAAGGCGTTCTTGAAAGCAAACAGGCTTTTTAGAAAGAGAGCATCCAGACTCACTGGGTGCTTTCTTTCGAAAAAGCGGCTTGCTTTTTCGAAAGTTCTGCGTGTAGTCTAGACGCTGTCTTTCGAAAGAGGCTCTTTCGAAAGTATCTTTCGAAAGAGGCTTTCAGTCTAGACATAGCCCAGGAGAAATCTTGGAAAGCATTTGACAACAGTTTGTTTTCTCATATACTTTTCCATGGCGAGTCAGTTCTGGATATGTTCTACATTTTTCAAATACTGCACACTGCACGCTCTGATTGTCCAAGGAGAGGAAGTAACTTTTCTTACCCAGTCATCAGTAATGTTTCTTGTGATCCTAACTAGCTGCAGATTGTTCTTTAAAATCCACTCTTCCCTTTCCATCAATGATCTTTATGTTGATGTATATGTTATGATCTCCTTCATGGCTGAGATTTCCACCAGCATGAAATGGGGCAATTCCAAAGGGAATGAACATGTCTCCCTGATGACTGACTGCTTCAGTTTTTGCAATGCTAGTGTTGCACCTGTCTCGGCCAGTCATAACTGAGGCAGAATCCATGAAGATGTAGCATGTCAACTAAAATGTGAAGTCCAAACTCATGACGTAGCTCTAAAGCAAGGCTTAAATACAAAAGTGCAATAATTTTTTAACTATTAAGTATTATGCTCTCCAAAATTGAGAGGTAGCTTATTTGAATGTCGTTTGAAGGATAATAGTTATTGCTGGCTGATTGATATGCCTCTTTAGAATGAACCAAAGGTAAATTCCTGCAACAACTAGAGCATAAAAGAAGCAGACTTCTGTAAATTTCAGGCACGTGATTTTGGACAATTTTCAGAGGTTCTATTTTAGTTAATTTCAGACTAAAAGATTGAAGTTGCGGGAAAAAAAGCCCTTGTTCATCTGAAAACTGAAAGCTCCTCACCAGGGTTACTCACAAAAGGAACATCCACAACACATTTGGATGACTTAACTTCCTGCTTCAGATTACTAGCATCTTGCATAGCATCAGCTAATGCGTTTGCGCTGTGTAGAATGACGGTACGCTAGCTTTGCCCATGCTGTGTACTGAATGACATTGCAGAACCATTGTGTTTTCCTCATTTTGCTGTAATTTGCTTCTGGAGTAGCTTGTAGTTGCGTTATCTGAGGGAAATGGAGCTTTATAACTTTGTAGGAGCTTGAACAGACTTCTTGTTATACACAAGATCATTATCTCCAGCCTCGCTTCAAGCAGCTGATAAAATGCAATGGCATAAGGTGACTGTATTGTTGCAGTGCAATGAGGTGGCTTTGCTTTAAGATTTGTTTTACTGAAGTAGGAAGAGTAGCATGTTGAGTGAAAAACATAATCCTTCGCAATCAAGTCTCCCACAGATATGCTGCTCAACATGTCATCATACTTGGTTTGAATAATTTACCTTCTGGAATATTTCCATTTTATGAAGTTACTTGAGTGATTTTTTCAAGCAAACTGCAACTGGGCCAAGCAGTAGAGGATAGACTTGTTCTGGTGATTATAGAAGCAGGTGAACATGATGCTCTCTGATTGGATTCAGAGTCTGTTTTCTTTTCTGGGTTCAATACAATTCTGACATGAACCAAATTTCACTTGATTGCATGTTTCCAAAAGCAACCTTTGTGAGGGCACATCTACACAGAAGGGGAGAAGCTGAAATAAGCTACACAACTTGAGCTAAGTCAATTGTGTAGCTTATGTTGAAATAACTTATTTCGGCTTTTGGCGCTGTCTACACAGCAGGAAGTCTGAGGTAGAGCACTCTTCCCTTATTTATCGCAAAATAAGAGTTACAGGACTCGGAGTAAGAAGTCCTCCAGCTCACCATTATTTTGCCTTTATGTCAAAGTACCTGCTTGTAGTGTAAACGCAGCCTATGTTATTTGGCACATCATCTAAAATAGGGAATTAATCCAGTAGCTGCCAATACTGTTAATCTCTCCTGCTTTCTGCTGCCAGTATCACAGAATTCTGTCCCACACTGGTGGCTTTTGACAGTTTTGCATCCCTTGGATTTTTTTTTTTTTTTTTGGACAAGTGACACATTTTTAAAAGTTTGTGGTGAGTCTTTTTCTTTTTTGTAAACTTTAAGGGGCATGAATCCTCCATGTCTTCACATACTGAAGTTCCCCTGTAGAGGTAAAATTCTAAACTGATATTCTTACCATTACCACCACCATTAACATATTTTTGTTTCATTTGTACAAATATACATATTTGTGCTAAATTAGATATAAATTGGAGCTATATGTTAATATGAAAATTTCCATTTTTTTGTTGTTGATTGAGCACTAATACCAGCCTGAGCATAAATCACTGAATTTAAACACTCATTTCTAGACTATTTCAAAGACTAATATTGCACACATAGACCATTACAAATGAAAACCTACTAGGCAGGTGAGATGCTACTTTGTATGACAAAAGCTTACAAATGGAGAAGCATTACACTAGGAATTCACATACATTTCTCAGAGGGGTAGCCGTGTTAGTCTGAATCTGCAAAAGCGACGAGGAGTCCTGTGGCACCTTATAGACTAACGGAAGTGTTGGCGCATAAGCTTTCGTGGGCAAAGACATGCATCTGATGAAGTGGGTCTTTGCCCACGAAAGCTTATGCTCCTACACTTCAGTTAGTCTATAAGGTGCCACAGGACTCCTCGTCGCACATACATTTCTGTCTACCCAATAGGCAGGACACATTATTGGCAATCTATGGGTTCTAGTGCACAACCTTCTACGAGATAGATCAGATTGCTAATTTCAACTGAAAATATTGACAAGTATTATAATAACCTGTGAGATAATTTGACAATTAAGAATCTGGGATGTGAAAATATTTTATGTGAATTGATTGCAATGTGTTGATATGTGGCATTTTTCCCACATGCTGAATTATTTTAATAATGTCTAAAAATAATACTTGTCCAATGAAACCAGGAATAATATTTTAATAGATTGTTGTTTGGTAGCTATGAACAATAAACACCACATTAAGATGTAGAAATTAACTGAAACAGTAAAAACTCATATTTATGTTTCAGTAACTATGAACAACATGACACTTTTTCATTTGGGGTATCATTATTTCATCTCACCTGCCAAATTAATGCACCACTTGATAGCTCCACATCATTATTCATCCAAAGATACATGGAATGAGTTTTCCAATTATGTATGGTTTGGGTGTGTGTATGGTGGGTACATGAAAGTGTAAAACACGTTCCTCTTTGGAGAACTGCTCCATGCCTAAAATAATCTTTCATACCCTTGATGACCTTGAATTCCCCTTGTACTGGGGATCATGCAGGGAAAGGAAAAATGATCTCTTTGTGGCCTCTGGTCCTTACACAACAGGACTTATCGTGCCAAGTGTGAGGCAGAGGGTAATTGATTGCTAAGTGGCATCTTCTGTTTTGGCTATATTGGCATAAAAGGGCCCAATGAGCAAGCACAGATTGAGCTTCATAGAAGTTATTCCTGCATAAGGACTGAATGAAAACAAAGAAAGGACTCCAGAACTGGGCCCTGAAGATGCTGTGGAAATGCTGCCTTAGGAATTGCTACACATGGCTGTGATCAACTCCCTAAGGGTATGTCTACACTTGCCCCCTAGTGCAATGAGGAGTAACAGTTAATTTGAGGGAAGGGTTTTGGATTGGACTACCGCGTCTACACGCGGCGAGTTAATTTGGGCTACCGGCTTTTTAAAATGGTGACCAGCCGTGAATATGCTAATGAAGCGTGGGATATTTAAATCAGGCACTTCATTAGCAACTTCGGTATGCTTCATCTGCCTCCCTTCTTCAAACTAGGGGCAAGTGTAGACATACCCTAAAGGTGGCCGATGGGAAAGTGCCATCAGGATGTACTTTCCTTTTTCTTCTTCAAAGAGCCTTTCAGCATCCTCCACAGACTGTCCTTCCTCTTCATCTTCTTTTCTGTCAGGGGCAGTGAGGACTCTTTCCTGCGAATTTCCCGCACCAGTCCATGAAAGACATCATCAATGTAGAAGCGCAGGGCAGCTGAGGTCTCAAAGAAGGAGCACGAATACTCTCTTGCCAAACTCATACCTTCTTCAGTCGAGACCTATCAAAAAAAAAAGTCACTAAGAGTAACATGTTCATAAAGTTTAAGGCCAACAGGGAGTCTTAAATCTTTTGACCTATGTGTCAAAGTAGTTCCAGCCTTGGGTAGATATGGGCCACCAATCTTTTGGATAATAGCCAAGCATACTCACATATTGTGCCAAAGAGAATACAGCAGAGAATGTTCACAAGTTGTACGACTATAAATATGTTATATGTCTGAGCAACTCACAACACTCCTGTAAGGCAAAGAACTATGATCCTCCTTTTCTTTGGGAAACTGAGAATGGAGGGTATGTCTAGACTACACGCTTCTTTCAAAAGAAGCTTTTTTGAAAGAATCTTTCAAAAAAGCTTATTTCGAAAGAGATCGTCTAGACAGCAACAACTTTTTCTGAAAAAATGTATCACTTATTTGAAAGAGAACACCCAGGCAATCTGGATGCTCTTCTTTGAAAAAGCCCTGTTTGTGGTCAAGAACACCTTTTTTTTAAAGAGCTCTTTTGAAAAAAAGGCATTCTTCCTTGTGAAATGAGGTTTACCGCTGTTGAAAAAACCACCGCATTCTTTCGATTTAATTTCTAAAGAATGAGGCGGCAGTCTAGACACAGGTGAAGTTTTTTTGAAAAAACCCTGTACAGGCAGTCTCCGGGTTACGTACAAGATAGGGACTGTAGGTTTGTTCTTAAGTTGAATCTGTATGTAAGTCGGAACTGGCATCCAGATTCAGCCGCTGCTGAAACTGATCAGTTTCAACAGCGGCTGAATCTGGACAACAATTTCCAAGTGGATGAGGAACAAGATTAATCTGTCGTCATTTTGCCCTGCCTCCCTCCTACTCTCAAGCCCCAAACTGGTCAGTTAGCAATATTACTTTGTTTTGAAAATCTGAAGATATGTATAATTAAGATAAAAAGTTGGCATTTAAATTGGCTAGTATGTTCAAGACATTGCTGCTATTGATAATGTTGCATTTCCATTTCACTCAGTCACTGAACACCAAGCAAAAAATAAAATGCTAACAGTCAATCTTAATTCAAACAATTAAAAAGCCTTTTATTGACATTACTATAACAGATTATTTCCTTTGATGTGGGAAACCAGTTTCCTTTCCTAGAAAAATCCTCCAAAAATGTACCTCACGTTTTCAAGCCATGTCACATTAGGGTCAGGGATTTATGGGTTGTTTGATTTAGGGGGATATACAGGCACCCCAAGTTAAACAAAAAACACAAACTTACATCTGCACGTACAAAGAAAAGCTCACCAGCAGCCTGAGGCTACGGGGAGCAGCTTTTCTCGTCCCGGAGGAGGCGGGCGGCGGGACCAGGCGTCCCGCCTCTCCAGTCCTCCAGGGCGAGAAAATCCCCATTCATAACTGCGGATCCGACATAAGTCGGATCCGCATAACTCGGGGACTGCCTGTAGTCTAAACATAGCCAGAGAGATTAGGGGATTCACTCAAGATCTTCCAGGAACTCCGCAGGACAGGCCTTTGAACCTAGCTCTCTCAAGTCAACACAAAAACCAGTGGCCCATCTTTGTTTTGCAGTACTGAATATTAAGATATAAGGCTGAACATGCAGAATTGAATTCATATTTAAGACAAGGAGTCCCAGATTTTAGATGTATTTGTCTATCTCATTTTTTGTTCTTCAACCCATCCACAGCAAGCCACTATTCCAGTTAAATGTATTAGAGATATAAACACTCATGCTTCAGGCTATAAGCAAACCACTTACTGCCTAGCATTAAGAATAAAGGTTATTTCATCATTTCACTCTATTGGACTTCTTTGGGCCTTCCTCTGAAGCATTTGGCGGTGAACACTTTCAGAAAAAGGACTGTGACTAGATGGACCATTAGAGTGATCCAGCCTCTGTGGCTATCACATGCATACATAAACTTTTTATTTCTGGAGAGTTTCAGACTTTCATCTTCATCCATAGAGTTTAAGGAAATAAAGGGCCAACAAACTGACCAAATTGACTGCCAACATAAAACAGGCCATCACATTTCACTCAGATACCTCTTTCGTCTGCCCAATAATTTGTAACATTAGCAGGATTATATATTACTTTTATTTTATGGTGATTACAAATATTGTAAAGATAAGCGAATCAGTTGAGTGATAACCTAAATAATACTCAGTGACACCAAGAAAGACTTTAAGACTGCTCTAATTGCTCCTGGCTTTTCTGAGGGCAGCAGTGTAAGCAAAATGCATGATTCAATAAGTTTAATGGGAACCACTGAGAAATCAATTGTGTGAATAGGACACTCTTTTGGCCTATTTTGAAGAAGGAATCCACTTTTGTTAGGGTGCATCTAGACAGTGGCACAATTTTGGGATAGTTCCTATATCCTGAAATAGCATTTTCTGCATCTTGACAGGGGGCCCTTTAATTCAAAATAGCTTTAGAAATAATGGGCACACTATTCCCACGTCCCTGTAAACCTCATTCCACAAGGATGAAGGGACATTTTGGAATAGCGCTTTATTTTGAAATTTGGCATTGCGTAGCTCAAATTGAGCAGCTTATTTTGAGCTAAAGGTGCAGTGTAGACGCACCGTTAAAGCACTGCACTTCAGAGCAAACCCATAAAGGGTATGTCTAGACTACAAGCCTCTTTTGAGAGAGTCTGTCTAGACAGCAGCCTCTTTTTTCAAAAAAGAGAGCCGCAGGCAGTCCGAAGGCTCTCTTTCGAAAAAGCACTGTTTGCATTTAATAATGCCTTTTTTTCCCGAAAGAGCACTTTTTAAAAAAAGGCATTATTCCTCGTAAAATGAGGTTTTCCGTGGTCAAAAAAAATGCCACATTCTTTCGATTTAATTTCAAAATAACGCGGAAGCAATCTAGACGCAGGTGAAGTTCTTTCGAAAAAAGGCCACTTTTTCAAAAAAACCTGTAATCTAGATACACCCTGTCATAGGCTTCTTCCCTAGTCTGGCACAATAAATGCAGAAGTGTGGGCCTGCAAAAGTACCCCAAAACCTTATCTTTTCAGGCTTTGGTATAAAACTCCCCCCCCCCCATCTTAAAAACCTATATTTTGGGGATAAAATCTGCTGTCACCACCAAAGTAATGATAAGAAAATCATGGGAGAGATCTCTTGGGAAATCTCACCCCTAAAGTACAAACCAGGACACAAAAATTAACAAATGCCAGGTTAATAAAAAAAAAGAGAAAGAACTTTTATTATCACCACAATATTTCTGTTGCAAGCATAATGACTAGATGGAAAAATCACAAATTAATATACTCATGGGGGAACCCCACCATGGTCCAAGACTTAATTTCAAAGGAGAGCAAAACCCATTTTTAAAAATGCACAGACATCAGATCCCATTTCCCAAACCATAAAACAATAAAACCTAATGGATTTATCTAAACCCGTGGTCACCAACCAGTAGATCGCGATCTACCGGTAGATCTCGGAGGCTCTAAGAGTAGCTATTGAGCCCTCTCTGAACTGCGCGCCTGCGCAGTACATTTACATTAGATTTCCTCATTTGAGGAGCAGCTACTCACTGAGCAACAGCACAGGTGAGTAGCTGTAAGGAATGGTGGGATTTTTTTTTAAAGTAGCAGTATAAGGATTGGGGATAGCAAGTAATGGAAAGGAGGAGCATAGAGAGGGCGGGGCTTCAAGGAAGGGGTAGGGCGATAGATCTTGGCTTGGTCTGTCATTTAAAAAGTGATCTTGGGTGTAAAAAGGTTGGAGACCACTGATCTAAACCTACAGAGAGAAAAGAGTTTTTTCTTGAAGGGAGACATACTATCTGACCCCCTGACTAGCTGGAGAGCAAACTGCCCCAGAGACAAGGAGGGGAAACCCAATAATTCCTTTGTCCCAGTTTGAAATTCCTAGCTACATTCCTATTGGCCAATTCTACCTGGCTTACGTATAGTTAACCCCTTAGTCCCTAGGCTGCTGGCTAACCCTCATGATCATGACATACTCAAACAGAGCTGTAATTTTAGTAAAGATTGTATCTATTTGCTACATAACATTTTAATTTATAACCCTAAAACAGCTTTGTAACGAATGTGAAGGGTTCACAGTCATGCTGCATTCAACCATGGAAAATGCCAGGTCCATTCCCCTCCACTCATCTGTCTCTGCCCCATACCCTTCACAGACTTTCTATGTACCCCTCCTGCCTTCCCACTTACTTCCTCCTATCTGGGAGCCATTGAGCGAACAGGAAAGAGAGTTTCTCTTCTTGTAGTTTTGCTGCCTGACACCACAGAAGCTCCCATCAGACAAAAAGAAGAATGGCAGAAAAAGGCCTGTTTGGTCAAAGAATGGAGCACGCTTATTAAGCTCTGTAGAGGTGATACATGCTCAGTATGGTTAGCACAGAGCTCCATATAGGTGGAGCATGCTCACTAGAGACAGACTGTTTAATGGATTTTATGGCAGGCCTCTAAATCTCAGTATAGCTTATTTCAATGGTATATAACTTGGACACATTTGATTCAATTTTCACAGAGACGGAAGAAGTCAGCTCTTTAACTCCAGGGTGATCCAGCTATCAAATTTCCTGCCCCTCCTTCAAAGCATGGTGGTGCTAAAGCTTCTCAATAAATGGTTATTATTTTTTATTGGAAACACATGGTCTTTCCCCCCTCATCTTGTATTCAGGCACCGCTGAACTGTTTTTACTGAAATTTTCCAAAATAACTCCGTCTGAGGCAGACTCCCAACCTGGAAAATTTCAGTCCAGATGGTTGTTCTGGCAAAGTTAGAAGCAACTGAAAACAAGCTCTTCAAATGAAAAGTCTGAGCATCACTCTAGGATATATATATAGAAAATTAGGATTTTATTATCTGATTGCTGAAGAAATGTTAAACTCCTAGCAATGTTCAGAGGAAAAGTGCAAGGTGTTTTCTTTTTCCCAAGCAATAAATCAGTCATAGGATCAGATGGTTCTGAAGATTAGTAATGGGGTATAAAGATCCCAGAGCTCAACGTGACTGCAAGAGTCAGTCAT